TGTGTGTGTGTGTGTGTGTGTGTGTGTGTGTGTGTGTGTGTGTGTGTGTGTGTGTGTGCGTGTTATCGTGTGTACGAAAGCACACAAATTGACGTCTTCAGTACAGAACAGTTGTACTCCGAAAGTGAAACACGACTCATGCATAGTAGCATTGCATACCGAAACTAGAACAGGACTCAGCTTTTACCGAAAGGTACACTACGCGCACACACACACACACACACACACACACACACACACACACACCCACAACCTTCGACGAGTTGGTGAAAGTCCGACGAAACAGTCTGGCACAGTTATGCTATTTTTTTAGTGTATAGCGAATATGACAACACACACACACACACACACACACACACACACACACACACACACACACACACACCACACACACACACACACGCGCGCACGCACACACACACGCACGCATTGCTCAATCTCTCTCTCTCGCTCGCTCGCTCTGTGTCTGTCTATGCTCTTTCTTAATATTTCTGAAAGTATTGTCCTGTTCCACTTGACTCGTTCGAAGTACTGATGTGCTAGGGCCTGGAAACTATACAACTCCGAAATTCGTCGACACGTCTGGAGGAAAAAAACAATAAAAGCTTCAAACACAGAATCAACAGTGTCAGGTTAAAAGCCCAAAAATGGGTCCGAGACCGATCTTGCACCTTACCCGTACATCGACTATTTTTCAATTAACTTTTCTCAATTTTCTCGTGTACGTAGCTTTATCATGTGCACAGTTTGCTCATGAAGCCTAGACAGATCTAAACCAGAAACTGGGTCTTTCTTTTCCAAATTTTTTTTTTTTTTTTTTTTTGAGCACAGGGCGACGGCCTTGAGATATCAATCATATCATCCTTGAACTGACCGGCCCCAGGAAATGCAGAATTATTTTACTCTGTTGAGTCTGTTCAACTGATTGCATCTGGGTTCGAACTCGGGTCTGCATTCAACAAAAGTTAGTGGGTGTGTACCCAACTCAGCTACCTTCTTCCCCCGAATACAATGTACGGTCATTATAACTGTATCTAGACTGAAAGATGCCTCAAATACAGCTATAATGACCGTATGTTGTATTCGGGGGAAGAAGGTAGGCTCGTGGGAGTCCAAGCACACGCACAGCGTCTGGCCCACACTCCTTGGACACAGCAACTGCACACATTAAGAAGCACCTTTTTTTTTTTTTTTTTTTTTTCTTTTTTTTTTATTAAATGAATGATGGATCTCGCGCAATGAAATAGCACTGTGGCAGTTTGTACGAGGGAAAAAAAAAAACTTCAGGCATGTATGTTTATCACGTCCCCCCCCAAAAAAAAAGGAGATCGGACTTTTTGCTAGTACCCAATTCCCCAATTGCTCAAGGAACGAAAGGGCGACGATGCGAGCTGCACTGCAACCATCTGAGAGCCCGGCGTAAACTGGAATTCTCTGCCGGGGGGGGGGCGTGTTGCTTAAATGGAATTTTCTGCCAAGGGTACTTTGCTCAGCGCAGTGTGGTTAATCATCGACTCATCACTGGGGATGATGGACATTTGCCTCCATATCTTTTGTTTCTCCCTTTCCTTTGTCGCTTTTATTATTTTCCAGAAATAACTATGGCAGAGTCAGGCTTTCAGGTCTGCCGTCTTCATCCGAATATAACGCCCGTTCATTAAATGCAGTTTTTTTTTTTTTTTTTTTTTTTTTCCCTACCTCCGATCCTGTTTTTGCGGATCCTGAATGTCACTGCTCACCCCGATCCTGGGGCCCGGACCCACAAGCGAAGTTTTCTACGATGTCTGACAGCATTTTCGTATTTTTTAATCTTTTAAGTGGTTTGAAAATGAACCAAACAAAATTAATTTCTGGATGCCTTCAGGAGGTTCATTCGGACGAGTTAAAACATATGAATGAACTGAGCCGACGAAGAGTCCAAATTCATGTGCAGTATTACCCTCACATTGCCAGGCCCTAGGTCCGAACTGCAATAAAAACCCCATGTCTGACGGAAAGACAGTAACCGCCGGCAATTTTTTAATTTTTTTTTGTAGTACGGCAAGGCGTAAACAACAATTTCGAGATTTTTCTACACCTCTGCTTACACCACGTCCAGATTCAGGAGCTCAATCCAATCCTCCCAGGAAAACAAATTAAATGGGCCCATTTCTCTGCACAATAAAATGTGACATTTTTTGGGGTGGAAAATAAAGAAAACATGGGCCCGGTTCCCGGCTATATTAATGAATGCTTTTGTTTGCGGGGAAAAAAAAAAAAAAAAAAAAAAAAAAAAGGCAGAAAGAAACGAAAAAAACATATCTGCAACAAACCCAAATGAACGAATATTCCAGTGGGGATTAAAAAAGACAAAAATGGCAGATGGTCCACAGGGCCTAGGGGGGACGGTTCGGCGTGCGGCTTCTCCGACGCTCAGACGCGTCTGCGCTGCTCTCGCACGGCTTGAGCTTACTGTGGTTTTCACCATAGCTATCCAACCTTCACCGCAGGGGTGAAGTTTTTAGGGTAATAGTCATTTTCCTCGCGAGTCTCTCTCTGTCCGCAAGGAGATTGTTTACCCCTGGAGACCACCGTCCTCTGGAGGTCAATGCCGACAACACCAGAATTACCAGATCTACCAGCATAGCGCTCCCCGATTTGGAGCGTTCCGCTACAGGTGCTCACCCAGTTACCTTGTACTTCGCCCTTCAGGTGAGAATCATCATTGCTGCTTCAGTCGCCCAGGATCCTGGCGCCCTCTACTCCAAGCTGTCCATATCGGTGAGACGTAATCATTCTACTTCGACCCGACTCCGTTGCAATTCCTTTTCCGGCTTTCGCTTGGAGGGGAGCGATTTCGTTCTACGGTTCCGAATTCTTCCGAACAGAGACGGGAGTCCTGGCCTTATACACACTGTTCTCCTAACATTTGAATCTCGTTTTTCTTCTTTTCTATTTTACACTTCATCATTTTCCGTTTCCCCACGCCTTTCCAGGGACTCAACTGTTCTTGTCCTTTTCCGTGTATGGCAATTCCACCCTATCCCGATAACCCCCTTCTGGCCTCTTCCCCCCCCCTACCCGCTCCCCCGCCCAAGTTCATTCTTCGCAATCGCTGCCCCGTCCTTTCCATGTAGTCCCACTCCCCGCCCGATTTCCAATATTATCCCTTATTTTAACGCTCCTCCTTCCCGTATGTTCCAAAGAAACCTATCCCCCGACACCTATTCCCCGCGACGAATACTTGGTTCCCCCGATATCCCTGACAACCCAAGGCTGTAAATTTCTCGGCTCACTCCAACCGGTTAACCCCGGCACCAAACACACAACCCGGCGCGGTGCGCACTCGGTACTAACACATAGATATCTATCACCGCCAGCACGTCGTAACACGTTCCTCTTATCTGTTCTACACAGCGCCATTATACTAATTTTTGTTCTGCGCTCCAACCCACCACTGCACGCCGCAGATAGCCGCTCCAATGGCAGGGCAATCTGCCAATACCTCGAATTCTGCAATCCCCAGAGCGGGTTAGATCCGGAGGAAACAGATAGATTAACAAGTATGATGAAGGAGTGGTATTTGGATCATGTCTCCCAGGATTTTTCGGAGTATGTAGAAACAACGGTCAATGATGACGAAGACTGTATTGAAATTCGCCCCAATGAGAATGTTCAGAAAATTCAGAATGAATTCCTCAAACAAATGACAGTTGCAATCGTTTTTCAAGGGGAGACCAAGAACTGGTCCAATGACAAGAAAAACGATCTCATCCGTTACTTGGAGGAATCGATGCTCACCGAAAAAGAATTACTGACTTAGAAGGGCACTGCACACATGGAGGGGAGGGGACAGATGACTTACGTGGCAAAGAATTTGAAGGAAGTAGACTGGCTACTGAACACAAAAAAGGAAATGAAGTTCAAAGAGAATAATAAATTTCACTTTGTTTTCTTTCGACAGTGGTTGCCTCGCTCTGAGTGGGAGAAAAAACGTGAAGAGGATAAGAAGAAATTTTTTTGGGTAATGGCGATGAGATTCCCTATCGCAGCTTCGATGTACATCAAAACGGGTATCAAAGCTGCAATAGGGAAGGTTGTCACTGGATTTGACCCGATCAGCGATCCAGACGACCCCAAGTTGGGTAACTTGAAATAACAGCTTCACCCAAGTGCAGAAGAGAGGTTTAGACCTCGACTCAAGGTATGGACAGGCACGGATTACTTGATGGCTGACTTGGTGAACTCGAACACACCCTGGTGCTCTAAATGCAACAGATATGGGCACAAGGCGGATGATTGCCCGTACTGTTACTTCTGCAACAGATACGGTCACTTCACTGAGGATTGCAAGTCTGACCCTGAACTCAATCAGAAAAGCAACCCTCGATCGTCGCACCGAAGGCAGAAATCACATTCGTTTAGTCCTCATGTCTGCACCTCGGACCTCAACAGGAGGCGGAACGAGTGGGAAGGTACTTATCGCTCGTATGAACCTTCCCCGTCATGGGGGGAGAGAAGAACTTACAAAGGATACCATGATCCTTCCCCTCGGCCTATGATGGGACAGAAGATGGATCTCGCCAGTAAAGGTACTGGGAAGTTGCCCTCAGAAGGTAAAACTGCCTAGCGCCCCGTAGGCGGCCTCGCAGGAGGCTTCTCCGGTGGGATCCCATCTCAGAACGGAAGAACGAGAGAATGGACAATCCCGTCTGATGCAACCCACAATCAGATAGGGGCGGGCCTACTGGCTATCATAGAGGCCGGGGAAGACGACAAACAAAAGGCTTCTCAGGAACCGTCCCCCAGCCATTCTGGCCCTACCACAGGATTCAGTCCAACTGGGACTACCTCGCCACATCATCTACCCAAGAAGCCACGCACAGAGGATTCCAACATGGCAAACGCAACACAACCTT